AAAAAAAAAAAAAAAAAGAGTATATGTACCGTGTAGATCTTAGTTATGTACAATTAATTTGTGAATTGTTGTTTGTTTTTTATGTATTTTTATTTATGGTTTATGTTGGGTATATTAGAATATTTTTTTGTTAGAAAACGAATTTGACAAAGCATAAACTGATTTGTTTTTGTATGTATGTATGGTTTATATTCAATACATTTTCGGTATATGATAAACGCAAAACATAATTTTTATGTATAAAATAATTTATATTTAAGATAGACTGATTGCAATATATATTGAATATATACTAACATAAACATAAGATCCACATGAACTAAGAAATTTCAGTTGCGCACATATACTGAATATATACTAAATTAAACGCAATATATACCCTGACAGCTGATAAACGCGACATTATGATTAATTATTCAGTATGTGTTTAGTATATATTCGGTATATACCTCAAAATTTGTGGATCCATCCAGATTTCATATATATATAGAGAGAAGGGATCATGTGAGAATGGTAGATAATGAAAGAAATAAGAATGAATATGTGCCACTGGATTTATCATATCAATGGTTATGATCAAGTCAAAATTTAGTCAATCATTAATGGCAACATGGTAAAATAACATATATTATGGTCAAATGTACACATTTGACCAATAATTAAAGGCAATCTGGATATTACACATTTACCACACATGGGGCCCACACACATTAATATCGATCAGCCTCCCTCACTCTCTCTCTCTCTCTCTCATCTCTCTCTCGTATCTGTATCTATCTCTCCCTCTCTCCCGCTCGCATCTATCTCCCTCTCTCGCAACGTCGACCACAGGACTCACAGCGGCAGTTGACGGTGGCGACACGCCCCCACAGCAGCAGAACACTTCGGTCCACGTCGACGTCATATCATCCTCAGCGTAACGACCCCCGCCATGGAACTCGTCTCCACCGGCGAACCAGCTTTCCTCGACGATTTCTTCCGTCTATGACTGTCTTCGCCGGACTTCGCCGCCACAGTCCCAAACACAGACAGTTTTCTCTCCTCCAACACTCACCTTCTCGCGAACTGTAGAATACCTAAATTGAGCCCCAATTGAAACACCTAAATTCATATTTCTGTATTCAATTTGAGGTGTGGATTTCATTCCGCCGTCGCCGCCGCTGGGATAGATTGATGGTCATCCTCACATTTTCAGTCCGGCGATTGTTTGAATGAAGCTCGTGAATTGTGGGACTGTGGCATATGTGAGGATGAGATGATGGGCATGATTTTGGAAATTAGATATGTTCTAAAGGTATGTCTGCAAATTAAGAAAATTAAGTTTATTTCAATTGAGCTCATGTGTTAAATTGGTAATTATAAAAAATTTAAAAGTACACAAGATTAATAATTAGATTGCACAACATTAATAAATTAACCAAATCGATCGAACTTTTGTCCCAACTCATAATAAAACCGTACTGAAATATTAAAATAATAATAAGAATAATTAATAATAATAATAATAATAATAATAATAATAAT